CTTTCAGAGAAAGTGTCAGGTCTCCTACAGAGGAATTTAATATTGCATAAAGCACCATGCTTTCAGAGAAAGTGTCAGGTCTCCTACAGAGGAATTTAATATTGCATAAAGCACCATGCTTTCATAGAAAGTGTCAGGTCTCCTACAGAGGAAGTTAATATTGCATAAAGCACCATGCTTTCATAGAAAGTGTTAGGTCTCCTACAGAGGAATGTAATATTACATAAAGCACCATGTTTTCATAGAAAGTGTCAGACCTCCTACAGAGGAATGTAATATTACATAAAGCACCATGCTTTCATAGAAAGTGTCAGATCTCCTACAGAGGAATTTAATATTACATAAAGCACCATGCTTTCAGAGAAAGTGTCAGGTCTCCTACAGAGGAATGTAATATTACATAAAGCTCCATCCCTACAAATACAAAATAAATTTCTTCATTCAATGAATAATTTATTTCTCATCTATAACATGTACATTTAAATAATGTTTCGACCACAAAAAATAGTTTGTTAAAGCATTTGTTGGAAAAACTTCATGCATTGTAACGAATTTATTATTATATATTTATTTTAATATCAACGTTTGTTTAGATTAAATTTATATTTAGAAACATACATAGCTTATAGTGTTAAATATGTATTACGAAACTCCCGCGTATTCTCCAAAGTTGTAGCAGATTCTCGAGAGTAAGAATCAACAATATATGTGCGTATATAGGAATATCAAATATTGGAATTTATATTGATGATATTGTGATTTCCAGTGACACATGGGAAGAATGTTTATGTGTATTACGTGATGTTTTTGAGAGGCTTAAGAAGGCCAATCTCACTGAAAATTTGGCAAAAAGTGACTTCTGTAAAGCTAGAGTTGTTTACTTAGGTCATGGTCAAGTTTCTCCAATTCAATCCAAAGTTGATTGTATCGTGAATTATCCAACTCCTACCAACAAGATAACTTTGATGAGATTTTTGGGAATGGCTGGTTATTGCAGGAACTTTTGTAAATCTTTTGCTGACATCACTGTACCATTAACAAACCTTTTAAATAAAAATAAAAAATGCAAATGGTCTGAAAGTGTCAATCTGCTTTTGGAAAGGTCAAATCTTTGTTGTGTGCTTACCCTGTATTGATGACACCTGACTTTGATAACCCTTTCGCATTACCTGTGGATGCCAGTTATTGTGGTGTTGGTGCTATTCTATTGCAATCAGACGTGAACACCCTGTTTGTTATTTTTCTAAAACGTTTAATTGTTACCAAACGAATTATTCTACTATATAAAAAGAAACATTGGCTCTAGTGTTAGCTATAGAACATTTCATTGTATCTGCATCATAACAACCTATTGTCATTTATACTGATCATAACCCGTTGATGTTTTTAAACCAAATGAAGGGCAAAAACAACAACAAAAAACTGTTAAATTGGAGTTTATTATTACAAGAGTATGATTTGAAAATAATCCATGTCAAAGGAGTTGATAACATTTGTTCTGATGCACTCTCACGTGCTATGTAACTATATGATCATAAGCTTATTTTTATTGGTTATGTTCTACACTGTAATTATTATTGAAGTTTTGTAATCGTTTGAATAATACATTACATTTAATGTATTGTTGCCAATGTATATGTATACATATAAATATATAATGTCTTAGTTTAAAATTGTCTAAAGCCAGTTTTTAATTCTCTAAGGAAAGAGTTGTAACGAATTTGTTATTTTATATTTATTTTAATATCAACATTTTTTTAGATTAAATTTACATTTAGAAACATACATAGCCTACACTGTTAAATATCTATTTCGAAACTCTCGCCTATTCTCCAAAGTTGTAGAAGATTCTTGAGAGAAAGAATCAACAATATATGTGTGTGCATAAACACTTGTGTTAGCGTCAGTATTGTTATGTAAAACTGAAATTTCTAGAAAGCCTCCACACGTCTATAAATATAACCAACGCGATGCACCAAAAAAATGAGTGTCTATTATTAGTTTGCTATAGTCAGTGTGCTATGAACTTCGAAAGCTATAACTGTGATTGTTATAACGCTTATCAATCGGAAAACTTCAAATATTTGACCAGGAACCTTTACAAAGTTCGAACATTACAAATCATTTATCTTCAGTGGATTCTCATTCGACATTAGTATGTTTACGAAAACATTATATAAATTCATCGTGGAAAACTCGGCGTGTGTGGCTGGTGAATAACGAAGGACAAAGCTAGCTAGCTTCCTAATAAGTGAATTGAAAGAAATTATTTCACTGCTTTTGTTTTTTTAATTACTAATAAAAAGTTAAGTAAAAATTCTAATAAGTGCAACAAGAATCTCAAGAGGAAAACACCATTTTTACTCACAGTGACCTTGATCTTTACCCTGTGAACTGAAACTATGAATTTGGGCTCATGGTTACTAGAAAAACTTAAAATTATGGCTTTTCCTCAGAGTGCAAGCTTCTTTATCAGTAGGTGTTGTAAAAAATAAAATAAATACGAAATATTTATATATTTTTCTTAGTAGCTGTAATTATATTACAAATAAGTGATTGCAACGTATTTTACATTATTTCAAACTGTTTTCTATTAATCACAATAACCTAATTAAAACACGTGCCTAAGTGTTATATATTACCACAATTCTTGTTGTGTCGTTTGTCAGTCATATTGACAAAATGTTACACGATTTTCAATTAGTTATACCTCAGTAGCTCAGCAGTAAGTCTGCGAGTTTACAACACCAAAATCGAGTTTTGATACTCGTGAAGGGCAAAGCACAGATAGCCCATTATGTAGCTTTTTTGCTTAACAACAACAAAAATATTCAATGAATCAATACAAACACAATCTTACATTTCAATAACAAAAATCAATTTTTACCATGAAACATATAAACAGCGACACTTAGCAATCTGGTTTCGGCAACAAGAGTGCTTTGTTTTTAGCAAATCCGTTTAACAGATTTTAATATTTAATATCTAAATTAAAATGTTAGTAAGTCAAATAATTTATAACGTTTAATTTGATGTCTATGAATCCACTGAGCATTAAATGAATAGAATGAAAATAAAAAGATTCTTTGGTACAATGTACAGAGTGACAAGCAAATAATTCAGGAATAAAAGAGGGATCGAAAAATAATTGTTAATGCACAGGGAATTGTGCCAAAGAAAGTCAAAATCGACCATTGAGGAGGTTTTACAAAAAACAAACAAACTTGGATTTAGGAGCAATGTCATAATTTTGCATAAGCAGATCGTTGTACGTATGAAGGGAGGTCCGGAAATATTAAAATATAAGCCTTTACTAGAGGTAGTATAGAATAATTGTGCTGCACCTGCTCCCAAATCGTTGAAATAATGACACCGTATTTAATTGAAAACCAGTTCAACATGGTCCTACTGTATGTAGAGAGTCACCAGAATGCCTGGGTTCTGCCAGTTTGTATGCTAACTTGTTCCCACGTGAACGTCACATGAAGTTACAGAAAATGCGTATCAGCGGCTATTTACTGTAAACTTTACTTTTCTGCATGTTCTATTATAATTTTATGTTATTTGGTTTTAACATTTTGGCGGAAAGCCTTCAGTTGATGATCGTCTTAGTAATATATGGGGGGGGGGGTTCAGAAGTATATTAATATGCACATAATTCAAAAATAGAGAGGTGTGTATATATATATAGGACAATAAATGATAGTGGTATGGAATTAAGTATTGTTGGTCTACCCTATAACAATATCAGTGATCTTCTTCAAGGTCATCCTCTTAGAAACGTTAACTAATATGCATTACACACCAAAAACTTTAATTGGAAAGATGTGGACTATAAAAATTAAACATTTTAAACCAAAATTACTAAAATAGCTCAACAACAACAACAGTTAGAGCCGCAAATGCATATGAGTTAAACATCTTGACAGTTTGGTGGCAAATAATCAATAGATGAGTTCAAAATTTTGTGAAATAGGACAAGTACCAATCAGACTGATTGATTGGAATTAAGCACAAAGCTACACAAGGGGCTATTTGTGATCTGCCCACCACGGGTATCGAAACCCGGTTTCTAGCGGTGTGAGTCCGTAGACATACCGTTGTACCACTGGAGGTCAATACTATTCAGATGAATTCATTATTAGCATTTGTTGTTGTTCTTAGTTGCCCTTACGGTGTCTATGCTTAATTAGTTTAATCAAAATGTTAAGTTGTCACAGTTCAAAGATGTATCATGATACAATGATAACAATAAGGTTTATCACAAGATACTTCATTGAAGCTTTTAGTTTAAGAGCAAGTCACATCAAATTGATTTGTTGGTAAGGTGTTTACATTTCTATTAATTAATCTAATCATTATTATTGAAATGCCCTTATGTCTTGTATGAAGTCAGAGAAAACTTTTGTAGCATTTGCTTTAGCAGTAAGATAACTTCTCTGTTTCACTCAACACAGCCGTTTCTAAATTACTATATTTAAAAAAAAACGTTTTCTCTGTAAAGTACTTTTATTTTTTAGACACGATCCTGGAAAATATCTCGCTACAGATTTATTCGGTTGTGATGATTTACCTACAGGGTAAAATGAATCATCCTAACAGAACAGTTCTATACAATAATACGCTTTTTTACTGTAAAGACAGATCTATAATTACTTTGGTTTTCTTTTCATCCTCAAAATTTAAATTTATTTCATCTGATTTCATTAGGTATGGATTTTTATTTTTTCTGTACTCAAGGCTAGGAATTTATCTTTGCTATGTGACGAACGTTTCAGTATTATATTTCGATTCTAATTTTACAGAAACGGTACCGATTCTAATAAACGTTTTTATGCTGTCCGTTGCTTTTTCAAAAGTTAAAAAAAAAATCCTCATTGTGATCTATTTTCTTTCTCTTCTCTAAGCTCAGAGCTTCCTCACGTATGTACTTCTGTGCACGGTGTTCACCACTTGGCTAGCATGCCGCTCGGGTGACCAGGGGCTCATCCCTGTCCTGCGCAATCGCGGATGGAAATATTTCCTGGTAGCAGCAGCCGATGTGGAGGCTAACTTTTTGTTGGTCAAGGCGTATCAATACACGTCGCTGACAAGTGTCCAAGTAAGTCTAGCCTTTACTATTGTACTTTCCATGGTTCAGAACATTGTATAATAATTTCATCAGATAAATTAAAATCACCAAACCCTCCTCTTACAGTTATTTCAGTCAGACAGACAAGTAATTTTCAGTTATTAAGAAAACCTACAGCTAGAGGTATAAGTTTTCTGAAAAAAATGAAAAATTATGCCGATCGAGCTTCAAGCCTATTATTCCTCTTAGCCTAATTAACTAAACTATGTGGTTCTATAATTTATCATAACGGAGAACTGCGTAATCAGCTAATAAAGAACACTTGTCCGGAAAGCAGTGGCATGGGTTAGAATGTCGATTGGTCTAAGTTTTCTTTCTTCCAGAAAGCTTAAAGTTATGTTGTCTTCTATGCCACTTCATGCATTTCATATTTTGTTTAACAATGCAGCTATAACAAACATTTTTAATTGTAAAATTAAATATATTTTTGTTAACTTTAACGAATACAAAGTGTTTCAGAAGACATTTTAAATTCTTTACTTGTAGAGATTTGTTTTATTGAAGGTGAGAATTTCCTCGTTCATGAAAAAGGTTTGAATTGTTGGACATAAGCCTATCAGACGAATACTCTGTACTGGTTTTCTCTAAAAAATCATATTTAGCGAGTCTGAGAAACTTATACCCATTCACAGTCTCACAAAGTTGAAATACCCGCTGATAATCATATTATCGACGAACTGCATGATCTGCAGTGAAATACATAGAACAACGCAAGATCTAAAAAAAATCTCAACTAAGATCATAATCCCATTTCAAGCTTTTGGACCCTCTCATAAAATCAGTTGTGAGTTGCTACATGATTACGAACTAACTACAGGTATGGTATTATCAACCACGCTCTTTCATAACAACCTAATAATCTGACAAAGCTCTGTAGTACGGCTATAGACGTTAACAAGAAGATATTGCTCGTTGTTTTGTTAGGTTATGTCTGGAAGATTAAAAATACTTGTGATTTTTGTTTTTATGTCTTCAGCATCAGCATTAATTATAGTTTAAAAGACACTTCAAAGAGCTACGTAAAAAACACTTAACATGTTTATTTATTAGTTATTTTTTTTTTTTCAATTTATTGTTGTGACATTGGTTGTCAGACCTCTCAGTAGCTTAACCTGCAGATTGATCAGAATTACTACGTCTGAGCTCAGCTTAAGTAATAAATAAGTTAACCGATGTAGCTATGGCTATAGTTAGGGGTAAGAGTGACTATATCGATAATTATAATTGCCTGTAGCAAGAAGAAAGATATTAATGATATGTAATAAGATGTGGGATTGAGTATAGCGAGATATATAGTTGTTTCATGGGAAGATGTGGGATTGAGTATAGTGAGATATATAGTTGTTTCATAGGAAGATGTGGGATTGAGTATAGCGAGATATATAGTTGTTTCATAGGGA